ACTATCTGTGATTTATTTTTATTTATTTCTTTAATCAACTCACAATTATTGGCAAAGAAACGGGCTAGCAATTTCTATAAATCGGAAGAGCCATCGCGCATCTACGTAGTGGTCGAATTGCAGATTCCCTTTCCTCGACTTATTGACATCAAAATTCGTGGACGGTGAGAAAACGACAGTACGAAAGAAGGCGGCTAATATCATCACTCCGGCCATTTACCGTTTCCCGAAACGGTCTGGTCAAATGACATCAACGTTTTTGTTTACAGTGGTGCAATCTGAGGTATTTGCCACCCGGAAGTACGCATGACATCATGCTGAAAAAAGGTCTTTTGGGTATTATGTTGCGAAATGGACGGGAATGTGCTCAAGTATAGGTGCCTCATCTGTAGATGTCGTGGATCGGGGGTGAGTCAAGCAAGCGTTTGGGTCAGCGGTCTTTCCTCTCTCTTGCCATCTGCTCCGACTCAGGGATCCTTCTCGAGACTTTCCATGACCTGGCATCTCCTCCTCATCTGCCTCACCAGACGTGAGCTTTTTACGGGAATGCCGCTGAGGAATCATCAGCGCGTCTCAGCCTTTATGAATCAGCGGAACATACTGCAAACATTTGCACTCTTAACACGCTTTCCCAGGCAGTGGCAGCGGCGCCCTCGTGTTTTAAGCGTAAATCTTTGCTGAGCTCATTCTTGACTTGAAGAATGAGACGGTGGTTGGCAATTGGGATAAAGCGAGGCCTTCCCTGCTGGCACACACACGACGCACTATTAGAAGCGCTCATTTATTTTCTTTACAACCTAAATTCTAATACAGTAGCGCCTTGAGCTACCAGTGAGCCGACTTCCGATTTTTTTGCTTTGACGCGCTAGCAATTTGACACGCCATGAAATTTTGAGGGGCAAAGGGGCTCCGAGCCCATTTTTGCCAATTCTACATGAACACAGGTGTCAAAGTCAAGGCCCGGGGACCAGATCCGGCCCGCTAGCTCATTTTATGTGGCCCGCAAAAGCAATTCATGTGTCAACTTGACTACAGATTGTTAACTTGAGTGATTAAAAAACTACTAATCCATCAATTTGTTGTGTACAAGTAATAATACAATGAGATGATTACGTAAACATTTCTTCGTAACGGCCCTGTGAGGGAAGACGTAACTCCAAAGTGGCCCGCGACAAAAACGAGTTTGACACCGCTATACTAGAAGAATGGATTAATGCCATTTCCATTTCTTTGATTGGGAGAAGAGGATTTGAGAATGGAATGTTGTGAGTTACGAGGTTGGTCGCAGAATGAAATCAACTCATGTGTCAAGGCACCAGCCAATCATGAAAACCTGCATGCTGCCATATGGCCTGCATTCACTGCAAACTTAAAGACATGCAAGGAGAATGATAATACATCGCGAGTAATAGTGGATGGGAAACAGGAAGCGTAAACTGTCGGAAGATGGGAAAAGCCAACAACGATCCAATCCAAAAAAGATCCATTCGTCATCCTCTCATAAGTTGAGTCAATAGACAGACAGAGCAGAATGTAGCCGAGAGAAAAAGTCGAGCCAATGGCCGTTTTCCACAAAAACTCTAGCAAGGTATCAAATGATGCGAGAATGCACGCTTCACTCAAAACCAGATATTCTTTTTTTCAGGGAGTAGAGGGGTCAATTATTACTACTTTTTTTTTTTTTTTTTTTGTCTATGAATAACTGCTAATATTTATAGCTCAATGTTGGGGAAAGCAATGTTGGGCAATTCCACAGGAAAAAAGACACAAATGGACGTCCATATCATGAAATTCCACATGCGTCAACAGATTAATATAAAAAGAAAATCAACAGCGAAGCATTAGCAATCTTTTTTTTTTTTTTTTGCCATTCAAGCTTGTAAAACCCAGAATAAGGAAGTGGGGGCGTTGATGTATATTCCCAATCGGAAACTAAACGGCAATTGTGGACCTTTGGCACTGCCGTGTATTCCCTACCAGGGTCGCGATCGAGTTTGGAGTGAAGTGAGTAAGTCCCCACGGAAAGGCCCGGCGACCGTACCGCATATCTGGTAATGGCGTACGGGTCACCATCACCGTTTCAGAGTTGAGTGGTCTTCTGTTGGACATGAATGGCGGTAAAGCCGATCCCGCTGCTCATCAGTCTTTTGTGCCATGCCTCATTTCACATTGATCATGTTACATTTTTCCCTTCAGGGGAGACGGAGCTGGAATTTTAAACTGCAGCCCGGCGGCCGTTTGTTTTTCGACTCATACAGACAGGAAACGCTGAACAAACTTGGGTTGTCATCGTTATCCCGATGGAAGTGAGGCAGTGGGATTCAAAGGCTTTACTGTCATGTGGAGACATAAATCAAGGGTCAAGGAATTCCGACTTTCTGCTCGCTTTATGCCGAGGTCATCACTTATTACATCCGGTAGAAGTAAATGAAGTACAAATATTTGGTTACTGTGGCCAGGTAGATTTTTATGTGTATCTGTCGTACAATATTGGGAAGATTACTCAGGACATGTAATTGGTGATAGTTACCCTGTAACGATTTCAATTACTTTCTCAATATATAACTAATTACGCGCGATTATATTTTGATGACATTTTTTTATACACACATTTTTTTTCACGTCAAAAAAATATTCAACCGCTTTTGCCTTGGAGAGCCACAAAATCAAACAGACATGCACATGTCTTGCTTAGTGTCAATCCGCGAGGCATAATTGATCTCCGGTTCAAAAGCGGCGGCGGCGGTGGCGGCGGCCGCCGGGACAATGGAACGATTCATTCCAGGAGCTGGATACTCGGAACGGAGCGCCCGGGGCACGCCGTGGCTCTCGTAATAAACGCGAAGACACGTCGGGAGGACATATGGTTTGTGTTTGGCAAGAAGAAACAACAATCAAATACGTTGATCCTCCCCTTCTTGCTGCAAGGATGACTGCTAATATAAAAGTCTGTTCTGTCTAATCATGATTTAGGACTGGGTAATTACCTCCGCTTTCTCAGGATGGAGCAGCATGCACAGAATGCGCGTTTTCCACAAGGCTAGCCTACCCCCCCCCGCACCCCCCAAAACATATATATATCCACTTCATCTGCGAAACATATTCATTTTAACTGTAGCTACAGAAACTGGTTGACAAAAACATTCATTCATTCATTCATTCATTCTGTCATTCAAGTGCTCACCCACAAAGATCTCTTAAATTCACCAAATAAATAACCGAAGCTTCACAAAGAAAACCCCTTTTCGAAACAGTTCATCCAAATGATTCAGTGTTTCATGAAAGCTTCATTTGTGGCTCATTCAACCTTAGCAAAAGCACATTCAAGCACTTGACCTGCACGCTGGCTAACGGTTAGCCATTTAACAGCCAGCCGCTAACCGCAGCCAACAACAGCTCTCATTCGCCGACGCCCACGTCACTCCCCGGGCCCGGTTTTCGTCTTTTTAGGCGACACACATTTAAAAGTCACAGATACTACAATGTCAAATGTGAAAACGGCAACGGCCAAGCGGACAAAAATAACACCTACAGCTTTCATGCAATTTCTTATCAGTTTCTGGTATGTGCAACATGCGCGGCCCAAAAAGGAAATGGCTCTCTATTGGCATCACGACATGTCAAGTGTGTGTGTGTGTGTGTGTGTGTGTGTGTGTGTGTGTTTAGGGGTTTCGCACTAAGGGACAGTTGACACAAGGTTGTTTTGAATTTTTTTTTTTAAATACAAATGCTATTTTGGAAAGCACTGATTTGATTCAGGTTAACGTCTCTGTGTGTCGCGCGTGCTGCGGCACAGGACACTTGCAATAATAACCAGAGGTGATGTTTATTATTGTAGTTGTACACCTGCACTGCACCCCGCAAAGAGTTTTTTATTCGCATTTACAATAAATTAAGAGCAGGACGACATGGCCTGAGAATTAAAAAAAATAAAAAATTTAATCTGATTGTTGTCTCAAAAATCTGATTTCAAATGTGAAGTATTTTCCACTTTATAGAAAATACAAATGGTCCATGAGAGCGGATCCAAAGAATGTTAGCAGTAATTGAAAAGTCAGATTCACAATTTTTTTACAGGATTATGTAAAGTGTAGATTTAAAGGAAATGACCGCCTACTGAGTTGCATAACTTCCACAGTAATGACATAATGTATGTCACCTCGCAGTACAATATAGAATTGTTGTTTTAGCACAATTTATTGTGAAAATGTTGACAGTAAAAATGCCATTAAAGACGTACAACTAGGTAAAGCCAGTAATTTATTGTGAATTTACAGTCAAAAATTTAAGAGTGACAAGTTGATCTCTTTTTGGGGTACTTTAAACCATTTTCTGCAAATAAATGCCCTAAATGACAGCACTTCTATTTGGCATTTCGCAGTTACTGTAAGTTGTAGTTTGTATATCATAAATGAAAAATGTTCAATGTACCTGTTAATTGCCGAATTGTAGAAACTATTTTCAGAGCCGTATAGTTAAAAATATATATTTGCACCTACCTTGGGTCAAATTTATTCAACATGACAATAAATGACAATTTCCGGGTGGGGTGGCGGTGGTGGTAAATGTTCAGCGCATTTGTCTCCTTGATTGCCTTCTCACAAAACAATGTGAAAATTATTACCCTTGACTTTTTTTCTTTTTTTTTTTTTTGTCACTACTCAAGGGGTTGTCAAAGCAGCTGAATATGGCGATAAAATCTCTACAATGGCAACACGGACTGTGCTTAATTTAGTAAACCTGTTCCTTTCTGTTCACAGCCATGTTGTTAGTGGAAGTCAGTCGACTTTGAGTCACAAATCAATCCGACTTAATCGATAAAGTAAAATGTTAGATTTTAATAAACCAACATTTGCAGTTTGTACATTTTTGTACATTTAATTTTTACTTAAGCACAGCAGTTGGGCACTACTTTTATCAGTTTTTTTTTTTTTTTTAAACATGTAGTCCTATGTGTGCTTGTACTTAAGTACAGATTACTTTCCGTCTCAGTTTCCTACCTTGCATCGGAGGGAACGTGAAGCAGGAGCGTGGAGCTTTAGCGGCCACATGCGTTTTTACGCCCGGCGTGGCGGCGCAGTCACCCGGCAGCTTAGCGCTGGCGTTCTCCTGGTGGTGGTGGTGGTGGTGGTGGTAAACTTGACCTCCTCCGAAGCCGGTGGCTACGCCACGCCGCGCCCACGTGTCCGCTCTGCCGACGCCGTGCACGGCCGCGAAGTCGCCGAACGTCGGCTGACAGTGGCTCACCATCCCGGAGTGCGCTGGTGCGGAGTTCTGCATCGGAAACGTTTCCAAAACGGGCGCTACCTGCGAGGTGCAAAAGCGGTTACTTTCGGGTGAGCTTTTTTGGCGCGGTGGGATGTATTGATCGGCGCCACATCTTCGGCGTTGAAGGAGGTGGGGGACTTTTTACGCGCGTACGTGCATTGGCCGCTAAATTGCGAGGATGTATGAGGCTGATCGATAGCATCCTCTGTGTTGCGTGAAGAGATCAGCATCATTCCTCTCTCTTTCGCTCCCCCTCCTCTCGCTCTCTCTCTTTCGTTTTTCCTGTCTTTTTTTCCTCGGTTCTGATTGGCATCAGATATGGACCAGGCTGCATCATTCGGACGCACCAATGACGACGGAGGCTCAGATTTATTTGTGTGCGTGCCTGCTTTAAAAACAAAATCGATACTGTACATTTGAATTCATCCATTTTAGGGGTAAAATGCGAAATAAATGAACAAATATTATGATTCTTATATGTAAATGCAAAATAAATGTAAATGTTCAAGTTATTAGGAGCGTGATTTTCATAAAAGCGGCACTTTTTGGATTGTAATATGAAGGTTTACCTACAATGGCGTATGTCTGTGTCTCAATATTTATTGTTTACGTTGGCTTTCTGGTCAATTACGTCATTCCTTCAAAGTGATGTGTCTGAATAAATTCACAGATTTTATGATAAAAGCAACATTTTTAAACACAAGCTTTTTGTTTTCTTAAAATGACTCTAAATTAGTTTCCGTGTGATGATTGTTGTTATGTTTAGCATTACTAAATGACAAGCGCAGTCTTGAGTGAGAGACTCGTTCACACTTTGGATTTCTCCATCATCCGTTGTCATGCAGCGCCATCTAGCGGCTTCTGCACCAAGGACACAGGACATAGACTGGAATTGATGCTGCATTTAGGTGCTGTGGGAAATCTGAATACACTTCAAATTGTGTCGGTATCACTTTTATTTATTTTGACTGTATTCGATTTTTTTCCCATTTATCTTTTTTTATATCGTTACTTATTTTGCGTTTATTTTATTTTAATAATTATGAACTCCATGTTCATTAGTAATGATTACATGTTGTTGCTTGTTTCATGTAAACTTATGCTATTTCCAAGTGGCAATTTTGGCCTTTTACAAACAACCAAAACTGGTCCACACACACTAGGAACACCAGGCAAAAAAGGTTGCTTTTTTTTCAGGGGTCAATTTTTGACAATTTAGACAGCTGTTGGGTGTTCAGTAAATTGATTTTCAGTCCTGGACTGCCAGGAAACGCTCCTTGTTGGTATTTTATGGTATGCGTTAGCATTAAATTAGCTTTTGTTAAATGAAATGACATGGTCTGGTTCAGCAATTTGGTCTTTAAAAATACGACTACTTCTCAGTTGTGTATGTTGTCCTTGTATGTGTTAAATAAGCAATGGTTGACATGTTTCAAACTCCCACAAGATATGCAAATTTAATTTCCATAAACAAGTCAATAGCAATTCACATTTCATGTCAGCATCAAGCTAGCGGAAATTTGTTTAATGTGGTTTGTGTTAACATTTGTTTTTTTAAATATTCAACATTTACCGGAATTTGTCTGTTATTTTATTCGTCAAATGGCTGAGAGAAATAAACAGCTTGAAGCAAGCACGCTAAGAGTTGTCTTTTCCTTAGTGTTGTGATATGAAATTTCCCCATTTCTTGACAACCAGCCAGAGTGAAAACAGGCCCCAAGGAATACGTTTCATTAAAAAAGTATGTTTTAAATCACATGAGCACACCCAGCCTACAGGAGCATACACTGGTACTTGCAATCTGCTCCTGATAAAGTACGATACATTGAGGCGAGGGGGAAAAAAGTGATTTTTTTACATTTTATTATCTTTGCAATATAGTTCTTCTTCTTTGCAACTGCGTAATTTCACTACGTCAAACATTTGTTATTCACCTGAGAAATCTGACCAAAAAAAGAGGGTTTTTTTGTTTTGTTTTTTTGCTTAGGTGGGCTCTTTTTCTTCTCCTTTTGTATGTGTAGTTCCCTTCACATTTCATCACAAACCAACAAACAGAAAGATGTGAAAGGTTACCATCTCCTCTCACTCGCACACGCACACACATTAGCAGAAAAATGTACTACTTCACTTCAAAATATCAGAAATCCATAAATACACTGTACTGAAATTGACTTTCCACTAAGTGACATGGGAGCATAGCGTTAGCATTTTGAGCTAACAACATTGTAATGTGCTTTTTCAAAATACAAATACAAAGCTTAGCTTAGACTCTAAAAAAACAAAAACATTAAGATTGATTTTCAACCTCTTTGGTTAACGTGATTTTGGTAGCACAGCGTAATCATTCTGGCCACCTAAATTTGTCCCAAGTTTATCTTCCGTGACTTTAGTAGCATAGCTTGAGCCTTTTGGACAGGACTTTTCATGCTGGTGGTATGCAGGCTCCATATTTTTCAATATGCAGGCTCCATATTTTTCAATATGGAGCCTGCATTGATCTGGACTAACTTGGGGATATAGATAGAAGACGGTGGAGGAAAAAAAAATCCCTTTAACTTATCAGGAAAACATGCGACGTCAGTAGCATAGCATTAGCGTTATGATGCAAAATAAAAATCATCATGCTTGGCCGTCTAGCTTTGTTAGCCTTTGAAGAGAGCCAAACTCTAACTCATATCGTTGAATTCAACAGATCTTTTGTCTACGCTGCGCTGTGATTCGCCAGACTGGCGGTTTAGGGTGTGTGGCTTGGCGAAGGATCAATTCATGTCACATTTATAAGTCCACTTTCACAGCTTTTCAAAAACAGAAGAAAAGAACACACTTGGAAATCAAAGTTCCACCGTTGTGATGCTTGCTGAGTTATTTGTGGAGGCACATGTTTGCAGCAGGGTTAACCCTCACTGTGTAAAAGGTATACTCGGTTGCTACCCCCAAAACAAAACCTCGACGGCGGGCACGTCACAGCATTCCAAAGCCTTTAGCGTAAGTGATGGCCTTGAGGAGTCGCTCCTGCAGTTTCTCCTTGGAAGAATATTCCGGAAGGAGCAGCGCATTGAAACAGGTGTGCGAAGTCGGCAACCTGCGAGACAAAATAGATCCGTGGACGGGATGTGTGATGCGGGCTGCTTTGGAACAGGAGATGCTTCTTTCCAAAAATGGAGAGATGCTGGGGGTGGAATGTGCTATGCTTTGGTCCATGACCTGTTCCTTTACCGTTATTACTTTACTTCACTAACAGACTCGGAGGTTGGTTTGACCTGTCATTTAAAAATAATAATAATTGTAAAAAAGACACTGGTCCGTACCTTTCGGTGTCTGAGCCATTTTTGACGATGATCATTTTGAGCTTGCCGAGCCCGCCGACCGGCGCTCTGTCCGTGCCAGTGGTGAATTGAAGGAATAGCCTCTTCTGCTCCTCTCCAAATGAGTGCAGTGTTCCCCAAAAATCTCTATAAAAGAACAACAATCATCGACGTTATTACAATTGTATTTCTAGGAAAGTACGCTGGCTTCACGCTAACACATCGACATGCTCACGAATAGCATCTATGTCCCCAGTGTTATAACGCTTTAAGGAACCGATATTTGAACACCACCGGTGGAGCAACACATAGACAAGCAATATAACAACATCTACAGGCATATATTCTCAATCCTCTGTGTAAAACAACTACCATAATGCAACTCAATACCACATGGGAAAATGGCGGGGGAAAAAAACTGATTTTTTTTTTTTTTTTTAAACTTTCAAATACCCTGTGGCATTATGGGCAAAAATTATCCGTTCAAACGTCAGTCAAAAATGTTTACTCCATATTTGGCAGTTCATCACTTCTATATCTCTGACTTTGGAAATTATGATAATAAGACTGCATTTTACTGAGGTGTTGTGATTGTCTGCTTGTATTATACTGCCCCCAGGTGGGCAATGCATGCTAACCAAATCACACCATGCACAAACTGATTCCTCTTTCCATTCTACTAAATTACATTATAACTTTGTTTGTACAATATTACAGAGCGCAGATTTCCTTTTCAAACCCACAATTTTTTGTTGGATGAATGAAGTCAAACTTACTTGATAATTTGCGTGTCTTTGCTATAACCTCCGTCGTATTCGACCGTCTTCTCCAGGGCTTCAAAGTCAAGTTTCTGTTTGGCCATGAGAAAAGTCGTTTGTCAAACGAAAGACACCAACAACAAAACTAAATTGCTTGACAAAAGCATGCTTCCTCACCCTGCTTCCACAGATAAGCAGCTCCACTTCCTCGGGCCTGAACAAGTATTTCATTGGGGACTCACTGGTAACCATGAGGAAACCTTTCTTGAACGCCCGGAACTGCCTTTCCACGCTCGTGTTCAGAATGTAGTCAGTGTACAGGTCCACAAATTCCTGCCCAAAAAAACAAACAAAAAACATATCTTTGTAGGTGTTGCTGATGGGTGTGTGTAGCAGGTGCTTCAAGGTTTATATGAGAGTCTTATGTTAGCATAAAGCGAGTGGATCTTCGACAAAAAAAATATATACTGTGCCCAAGGGTGGAGTGTCCTGTCTTTTGCTATTTTTGTAGATGCGCGCAGGTAGAAGCAGGTGTTTGCGCCGTTGTGGGCGTGAATAGAACCGACTTGCTTCCTGGCTAACGGAAGCGGCACCTCTCATTCCCTTTAAATTCAGCGTTGGAGAGGCGCAGCATTAACATGGAGGAAGCAGGGAAGCATACAGTAAACTGACTCGCTGGAATCCATCCAGCAGGTCGACGTGTCCAAAGTATGTTGCTAAGGAACTGCAAGATCTCCACTTGAGGATGATATAAAGTTGGCTTCTATGAAGCGGGTACTTGTGGGAGTTTTTAAGTTTGTTTTATATGGTATCTCCTTATCTAACTTTGTGCAGGCAGGTCTAGAATGAATATCCCCGGCCACGATGAAGGGAGTTTCCCTGTATTTCTTGTTACCTGTCTGTTCTCCTTGGAAACAGGAATGTCTTCTGCCTTCTCCTTCAAGTCGTGCAGCACAGGGCTTCCAAAAAGGTCTGCGTGGGAGATCTGGAAGGTAAGCGCCATGTCCGCCTCCACATCGCCATTGTAGTCTAACAACTCCTTCAGACTCTGGTAAAGACCCTGTAACACAAAGAGTCTATTGATGACTCTTAAGAAAGTGAGTGCAATCGGAAGTCAAGTCTACGCAACCGTACTGGATGCGAGTCAGGGAGGTCGCAGAAGGTCCCCCTCTTGCCCATGAGCTTCCTGTAGACCACCATGGGGAAGTGCACATCCAGGATGCAGTTGTTGTAGATGGCGAGGCCAAGCACGATGCCCACAAGGGTGTACTGGGCTTCGTTCTCCAGGGAAGACGAGTTGAACCAGAAGAGCTTGGTGTCGTCATCGTAGGTGAACATCCCTATGTGCAGAGTCACAAAGTCAACACATGGATTGACTAAATCACAGGAGCAGACAGATAAGAGCAATAGTCTTTGGTGTTTTCAAACATCGACATTTTCTCCAGTGAAGACTCGAAATGAAAATCAAGTGTTCTGTTGCCCGAGTGCGTCTCTATGTCTCAGTCCAGTGACTGAGATTGTAGGCTCCCCTGTGATCCTCTCACCTATGTCGGGATTGAAGATTTCCTCCAGGACCAACTGGAAGAATTCCTTTGAAACGCCGCCCTCGTCCACGCCTTGCTCGCCCTCGAACTCGACAAAGAGTTGCTTCTTCAGGTCGGATGGGTTCTCCATGGAGATCATCTCCAGCTGCGTCGATGGCGGCAAACGGAGACCAAAACAGTTGAATGCCACTTTCAACAATCTTTTCCGTGGGTAATCGTAGAGGAAATTAAAATAGTAAATTAAGATACTACTGTATGCTGTCTAAATCCATACGTGGTCTCGCAGTGACTCACCCTGACGAGCGCGTCATCGATAATGTGATCCCGCCGCACTTTGAGCTTGAGGTAAGGGCTGGGCTGCTGCCCCTGTGCCGCGCTGTACAGGGCAGTGAGGCGACGCTCGCTGTACATCCTGATCCGGTTGTCATAGTACAGCCCCTGGTTCTTGGTGAAGACATTGAGGACGAAGGGGCAAGTCTGGAAGGAGAACTTGGTTTCCGCGTCGACCTTGAAAAAGGTGAAGTCCTTGTCCATCTCCACCACGTCATTCAGAGACTCATTGACAAAGTCCTCAAATGGGATGAGGGGCTTCCTGCTGTCGATTGGTCGGACCCCGAGTTCTTTCTCCAGCAGGTCTATCTGAGGACCCTTCTTGTAGAGCCGCTCCTCACCCAGAAGCTCGTGCAGGCTCAGCTCGTCCGAGTCGGCCGCGCCACCGTCGTCGTCATCGTTGTGCTCCGTATCCACGTCGCCGCCCAATATGTTGGCATAGAAGACGAGCTTCAGGCACTTGCAGGCGGCCACGACTGTGTCATCTTCATTGACCAGGTGCTCGCCGCTGTACTCCCGGCTGACCACAGTGTAGGTGATGAGCTGCTGGAAGGTCTCCATCATGCGGCGAATGTGCGGGAGATCATACCCGGACCACAGCTTGCAAAGCCGAGTCAGGGCGGCCACTGGTAGCTTGCTCATGGTCTTGCACAACTGCGGCAGTGCCAGTTCCAGGTACTCGGGACTGTGTAGGTTCCCATTTTCCATCAGGATGACAAAGATGTTCAGGTAGTCCGGATTGGCCTCGTACACCTCCAGGTACTCCAGATCCAGCTCCACGTTGGGAGTGAGGTAGACCAGTGCGTTGAGCAGAGCCGATTCAGCCTGCTCGATCGTCTGAAGTCGCTCGTAGACACGGCGCACCGAGTCAATGTCCACAGTGACATCAAGGGAGGCGCCCGGCTGTTCAGAAGCACCGTCCCTGGGCTCGGAAGAGTTGATTTCATCCTTACGGAAGCTTTTTATCAAGGCGTTGGCGTTGGAGAAAATTCGACCAATGACCCGGATAAGGGCGGAGTAGTCACCTTCCTCTTCGCACACACTTACAATCATACAAACTGTGTTCTCTGTGAGGTAATGGACATCTGGAGAAATACGAAAAAGAGAACACTAAATTAGCAAAATCTTTCTTCATCGAGGTTTTTTCATGACTGAAATTGAGGCAGACAAAAATGTTAACATTTCGGAAAACGTGTGGGAATGTTCAATGAAGACTTTAAAAAAACAAATATTGAAATCAAAATCAACTTCACAATACCTGAGAAGTCCTCCTTGAGACCCGGAGGCTGAATGTCAGATCCTGTCTGGGAAGTTTTGAGATCACAAAGTTTGGCATTGATCTTACACAGCTCCAGCGCTCTGACCGCCGCCGCGTTTCTATCCAGCGGTTGGAAATGGCGACACGAGGCGCAGAACTCGTTGTCACAGTCGTCATTGCCACAGCCATCGGTTAACTGCCAAAAGTAGCGCTCGATGAGATTCTTTGCTGCTGATCTGTTCCTGTGGCCGAAGATATTGAGTACCATAATTTAGTCTGATTGGCATAAATCTGATGATTCAGAAGTGGCGCATTGATTAGAACGTGACAAAACTTACATTCGGCTGGATCACGAAACCTTCTGCAGGTCCAGAGGACAATAGCCCTGAAAGAAAAATGATACATCACGCGTTCCGTTGGCGGGCTGTGTATTTGGTATCTGGGCGTTCAATGGGGACTTTACCTGACATCTCTTCATACCACCTCTACCACATTGCGATTATAGAAACCATTAAAACGATACCCAAAAAATGCAATATAACCGAATATAAAGAACCATTATTTTAGTGCAGTTGAGTAGGACTTAACTTTTAACTGTAAATTTTATACAATTGTATTTCACCTTGACAAGCTTTCTGATTTTAAACTTTATTTAGGTACAATATTCATCTAACTTTTTTATCCAACACATTTCAGTTGGAGAGTCACTGGTTGAAGTTCCTTAGGGTACTGAAGCCTGGGTGGATTAGATTGACAAGGCGCAAATCAAAAAAATCAATCTCCATAACGAGGCGAGGCTTAGCTGTAATTCTATTTCTTATGTAGATTACTTTTTCAAGATAGCACGAACATAAAATGGGAGAGCTATAAATATAAATGTCTGTGTATTATTACGGTTGTCATTAACCTTTTGTGCTCTTTGCTAGCTATTTCTGTCCAACTTCCTTCGTTTTTATGAACCATTTTAGCTTTAGTGTTAATTCAAATGTAATGAAACGTCCCAAGGTTGGGGATTTTAGTCTGAGTTTGTCCTTTTCAAGTTAAACTTTTTAAATTAATCAATAATTTACTGCCGGCAGCAAATTTCACCTTCTCGCTTTGTTGTTGACATTTTCCAAATCCTTATAAATTGTACTGAATCACACAATTTCATTCTTGACTCCAAACTTGAAAATGTTTCAAGCAGATTACATCATTTATTAATTTCTGGACTGGGATCGATATTTTGTAATGTTAAAGATGACCACAAACAAACTGAAAGGGTTCAATTTTACGAAAAAAGGCCCTTTTTTGAAACCGCTGTAAAACGAATGTTTGTCAACAACACGCTCTCCTTGACGCCCCCCCCCCCCATCCCACTGCGTGACGTCATGCTGGCAAGTTGACATTTTTCATCGACTTTCTGCCGGCACAAACGCGAGGAAATATATGAAAAGTAACCAGGGGTTAACAATAGTTCGACACACACATTTAAAAACCTATACGCAGTGACAAAGCAATTATTAAAGTGAGCAGACAATAAGTGCGCGTGTGTGTCCGTGACACTGCAAAAACACACAATTCAAAGGCATGCCGTCCACTCACTGTTTATTTTCGTCGCTACGTTTTGGAAACAAAACTTATTTCTGCGTAAATAAAGGTAAATATAAACCAATGGATAAAAAAGTGACAACAACTTTAAGGTGAGCGACTCTTTAACAAATCACAACAAAAATCTCTACCATCTTGTCCGAGTAAGCGTGACATTATCCCAACATGCAACGCGCAGACCATGTACCCTCCCTCCCCCCGTAGCCACGAACCAGGAGGAGTTTCACAATTTATTGGTGTTGTTTATTCGCGATTAATATTTAATTCCCAAATTGACATGTATATCTCATTAATTTTAATGCATAATATTTACGTGATTTATTTTCATTTTTTTAACTCAGCTGACAAAACTCTAACCTATGTTAAAATACTATAAATTCTGTCTTTTTTGTTTGATTATATATTTTTTACGATCATTACTATTATTATCATTATTTTATGATTTTGGGTCGTAATACATTTATTTTCATGCTGACACAAGCTAAAAAAAAAATGCCAAAACATATTTTATAGTGTGGCCACTTTTGCAGTTCTCTTTATGAACACGTGGGGTCACTGTAAGGACACATTTTGTTTATCATGAAATACTGTACTGTAGTGCGAAAAACAAACGCCAGAGAAATGATGGCCCACACTGCATACTATGATTAGACCTCAGTGAATCTTACAGCAACACAGTATACGCATTCAAATCTGATCATTCATACAGTGAAACATTAATATATTCTCCTCATGACTGCAAAGGGGGCACACATCAATCTCCCTACGCCCTGCTGCGCCTTTCATCATGTTTTCTCTTCATTGCTTGATTAGACGGTATTGGAAGTCATTAGGCCGCCATTTCACCCCCAATTAAAGTGGATTCAATATCATTCGAGGCTGTCCCAGATGGTCCCAGAGAAACTGAACTATCAGCTATGTGTCATGATATTACTGTTGCCAAAATAGAGTTAGTGGTTTCTTTGTTTTCATCTTTTCACCAATTTGAAATTGTTATCATCCATAAAGATTGTGATTATATTTTAGTATGAATTAGCTGATTATGTTTTGATTAGGTGAGTGTTTCTCATATTTTTTCCATTTTCCACTTACACTGATGTTACAATTTAATGGAGATGTCTTGCCCCAAACAAATTATTATTCATGCAGGGTGTCTCTGCTTGTTTAAACACTATCAGGAGCACTGACCTACATTTACAATCTGAGTTTTAATTTGTGAAATTCATTTTGTCCAGCGGTCTATTCCTTTCATTTTCTCTCTGCTGGCCGTCAATGAGGTCAGAGCGAAACGTGTTCACTTCGACCAGCGAAACACATCTCTAGCAATGTGCATAGATTAACACTTTTAATAATCAGTATGTCTGGTGAGTATGATTTGTAGTTGATTTATATATATTTTTCCCTTATCTTATTTTCAAATGCAGCAACTTGACTATTTTTTCCCTTCCTGACATTTCAAGGCCGGAATCCTAACTCACATGTGCCTCACTCCTCACTCATCCATCTTGGGAATATTTGGAATTCTTCTTCACGCCAACAAGACTCATCCATTTTTATTATTTGTGTTTTATAGGAATCAGTTTTGATGGATCAGGCCTTGGAAAAGCTGATGGCTTTTTATAATCTCATGGCTTTATTGAATTCATTCCATGTTGTCTTTTCGGGATGAATTCCAACTGCATCAGGCTGCATTATTACAACATGCTGTTGTTGCATATTGGGGAAATACCTGGAATAGTCGAGCCTTATTTGATGGCATAGACGCCCAGGAGACTCTTATTTTTATTCTGTTTTATTATTCCAGCTGTGCACAAGTGTTGAAGCAAGCAGCCAGCAACCCAAAGTCCTCAGGTTTGATTTTTCACCTGGACAAATTTTCATTGGGGAAATAGTTGCATAGAACATCACAGTTTACGGTCATGTCAGACGTCAGCGAAGCTCCTGAGGATTCAGCAGGTTTGGTTTTTTTGTTTTCTTGTGCGACACCCACAACAAAAGGTTTGAACAATTCCAAAGAAATAAAACCATGTAGTTTTTGTAATTGCAAGAACTCATATTGTGTATTTTTTCACAAAAATCAACTCACTCAATTAAAAAAAATATTTTTGGCTACTGTTTCTCTTGTATGTTTTTCCAATAGTCCAGAATCTGCAAAAATTAGGCCTCCTTACCTTGTAATATAGGACAGTATGATGTGCATGTGCAACCAAGCCGTGTCTGCCATCTGGTATTGAATGGTGATATTACAACTTAAAACTCAACTCATATTTATTTTCAGTTTTTTCACATCTGTAGAGACCTGCTATGTGAGTAGAGTTCATTGACAATATAGAGTACCGAAAACGTTTGCTCCCAAATCAAAGCAATCAACTCACGTCACGAAAAATTCGTAAGTCGGGTGTCTCGTATCTCAAGGCACTTGCCTTCCGACCACTTATCTCAATGTTTCCTCCCAAATTTAATCAGCATTTTTGTTCTTCTACCTCATTCCTTCCCTCCTGCAACGGAAAATGAGCTCCTGTTCCCCGGCCCGCTAACTTCCTGGGGACAGGAACACAACTCCGGGAATACCGCGTGGCAGTCGCGGGGGCAGCCGGGCTGGGCTCCGGGGCGGGCGGCTGTGCTTGAGTGTCACGTTTCCAGTCAAGAGCGCCGATCTACACAAGCTAATGCTAGCCGGTTAGCTCATTGTGGTTTATGGGTTATGCTAGCTAGTTAGCCGCATCCTGGTAGCTTTTAGATCGACATGCTGGGGCGGGCCCAAGTCAGCATCCTTCCCGAAGTGGAAAAAAAAGGAGACGAGCTCCAAACAAGCTAAAAGTTGTCCTCCGGGCGGGCGGAGTGAGGACATGGATGAAAAGGAATTATTTTCGCGAGGAAACTAAAACGCCTCACCAGGGAAGGGAAAAGAATGATCACCTAGCCGCTAGTTTGAGCTGTTTTTCCCCGCCGTGCAAGAGAAAAGTTGTGGCGTCGCTTCCCGCCCCTTCCCCAAAATAAGAAGTCTTCGTCGGCCATGGCGAGCCCCGAAGGAGCCGCCGCCGCCAAAGTCAAACTGAGGCCACGGAAGAAGAAGAAGAGCAAAAAGGAGAGTAAAACCAGGAGCGTTTACGCCAACATCCTCGGCGAGGAGGACGACAACAACCCCAACCGACACTACGCCGACAACAAAATCAAGACCACCAAGTACACGGTGCTCTCCTTCTTGCCCAAGAATCTCTTCGAGCAGTTCCACCGCTTCGCCAATGTTTACTTTGTCTTTATCGCGCTGCTCAACTTCGTGCCGGTGGTCAACGCCTTCCAACCCGAGCTCGCCCTTGCCCCCGTGGTCTTCATCCTGTCCGTCACGGCTATCAAAGACCTGTGGGAGGACTACCGCAGACACAGGTCCGACAAGGAGATCAACCACATGGACTGTCTTGTCTACAGCAGGCGAGTAACATAAGTCCACTGACCAAAACACACTTTTGTAAAACACATTTCATGTGCAAGTTAGCTCAATGTGCCTCACACAAGCAACTCATTTCCAAACACAACAGCTCCGAAGCAAAGCAGAGAAAACAAAGGTTGCTTACGAAAATTACTAAAACGAGCATATATTGACAAGATTTAACGGAAGAGTTTAAAATTATTTAAAAGTCAAGTGAAGAAAAAAAAAGTAGGTTCCTAAAATTGCAAGAGAGGGAGAAATAATTTAAAAATGTTTAGAAGACCTTCTGGATTTAAAACTATTTACACTCTGGGCTGACTTCACTTCTGTTGGCAGCTTATTCCATTTGCATGCAGCATAACAGCAAAGTGCCCATTCACCATGTTTACTTGAAACTCTGGGCTCCACTAATTGACCGACGTCTGAAAGCAGGTAAATGTGTTACATAAGTATATGCATGAGGCCAATGAGTTCTAACCAACACTTGTTGCGTGAACGAATGAAACTTTCTCAGATGAGAGGCAAAACGTCTCTTAAAAAAAAAACTGAGCAGTCCAGTGGTGATCAATTCAATGGCCTGATAAAGATAAAGAAGTGACTTGGATGAATGAGAATATGCACACGTAAGTACATGTATGAAATACCGGTAACGCAGGAAGTCATCATAACACCCAAACTGAGTTAGCAAATGGACATTTACATTTTAATAGCAATACACTCATTCTAAATCTGAGCCGATCTGTCAGGCATGCGTGACATTTACTTCTTGATAATAGAACAATCACAAGAGAGTGTATAGGCAGTCTTTGCGAGTACTCTATAGATCCAAATAAAGCCGATATCGTTCTGATATGATACCTGTATCGGTACTCTTACATCCCTAATTTCCAACATGTATTTTTTTGGAGGTACATTTAGAGAAATTAACGATTTGAACGCCATTTCTAGTTGGCACGTTCTTCACCTGTTATTCGCATCAGTCAAAAATAAATAAATAACATCAATTTCTTGTTTTCTAATGATAACTTGTGACTTATATGTCTTATTGTGTGTGCCAAATAAAGCGTCCGGTGTTCTCGCGGGTCCTCCGCCTGTGTTTGTGGGGTGTTCCTGCCCTAATGAAAAGCGTGGCTGTGACGCACGTGTACAGAGGATAATTCACACCAGTCAAAAGGCTCTGTGTTTTGAACTTTTTTATTTTTTTCTCAGCCTTAAGTCCTTCTCGCATGCAACTCCATCCAGGTGATGCCGTCGCCTACGTGGCAACCAGCGCGCGGGAAGTTCCTGCTTCTGTCCCGAAATGCTAATATTTACAAAAAGTTTAGATAATGGAAGCATTGATGTTTGCGCTCGTCCTCCCGTTTGAGAAATTTAGCCCGGCAGGGCTTGTGGGTAAACGTGAACTTGAAGCATGCAGTCAAGTTTACAATGAGTTATCACTTTGCTCTTGTTGATGCCACTCCAGTGTCAGCTAAACAAACTCTTGCTTTGGCTCCACCTGGAAGACAAGTGTTTGGTCTTTGGAATGGGCTGGTTTCGCAGTTAACTCAGTTTCAACCTTCACACATTCCTCATTTTATTTGTCAATGTGGCAGGATTATAATCGTGATTTTTTTTTTCACTACAATATTGATCACTGACATTAACACTACTGCTAAAAGAAATGAACATAATGTACATAAAGCATTGCTGTTTTGATTTTGATTACAAACATCTATTTAAGCAGCAGTGTAGTTTTATATATGTTTTTTTTTCCCCAATTAAAAAAAAGCATCCTATAATAGTGTGACAACAGTACGAGTGGCATCTGTTCCCGGTGCCCATAACACACTGTAGAGTACGTCAAGAGTGAATACTCATACTGATATGTGACTGAAAAATAAATGATATCGAACTTCGCTCGTATTTACAATCAAAAATCCTTTTCCGTAGACTTGCCGTTTGTTTCCTCAAAGTCATTCGCTACCACAAACATGACAAAGCAGCAAAGAGTTATGTGAGCTTTTGACACTGTGACTTGCTTTGTGGTAGCGGTGACCGGCGCGGTTACACTGGTCCAAGATGACCAAAGTCATGTGCTCTTTTGATCAACACGCCTAAATTCATTGGTCACACTGCATTTTTCTCAGCTGAGGGCAACGCTAAGCTAACTGTGTAAATTGCAAGAGTACAGTCGAAAGGAAATTTCCTTTGTCGAAATTCCTCATGGAGTTGGGAATCAGCAACTGTCGGGCGTGTTAAGCAAGAAACACAAAAGAATCCTAACGCCAAGGTTATACACAGCTTTTTTTCAAAGCCCAAAAACTTTCACCAAAGATTAAAAACAAAAAGTAGGGTAGCAGTTGGTGTCAAGGATTTATGTTGAGGTGGCACACCTCTCGTCTGTCTCGAATTTTCTGTACCTGTCCGTGGCAAAAGCCTGAAATTCGCGTTCCTGAACGGTCATAAATAGTTGATATCATATTTATGGAAGAAGTCTTTCTAAAGAATTGTTGACACGTAGTGCTGGCGATAGAGCAACATCATGTCTCGATCACTATTTGAAAACATGAAATCGGTGTAGATGAAAAAGTGTATTCTTCTCCCGTCAGAACACCGTGAACTCATTTTATTATAATGAAGGCTAAAAATAGAAAAACCCCGCTGAGTTTTTTTTCTCGTGTCGTCCTCGTGATATAAAGACGTCTCGCTAAAGCTACGTCAAGGTGTCCACTAAGGTTTTACTCACCATTGATCATTGTTGTTGTTTTTTTTTTTTACATCACACGTGCGTTTTGAGGAATGCTGAGCACCATTGTTAGCTTATATCATCCAGCCACGGAATCATACCAACTTTGCCCGCTGCAGAAGACGACGTAGTAATCTTAAAAAAAAAAATCTGAATTAAGGTTTAAAAACAAGCAGTTTTTAAATATTAAATTCAATTGTATCATAATTTAAAAAACATGTTTTACCCAATTGAACACAATCTCTTGGCCAACTTCCTATTCAATTTTGTTCATGGATCTTGGTGACTTATTCGTGCGTCCTCTTATGAAAGACATGTCCACCTAACGTTATGCCAATCGGTGAAACTCATTTCTCGGGGGCCAATTTTTTTCTTGCTCCCGCCCGGTCATCAGGACAGAGCGGCGCTATGTGGAGAAGTTCTGGAAGGAGGTGCACGTGGGCGATTTTATCCGCCTGCGCTGCAACGAGATCCTGCCGGCCGACGTCCTGCTACTGAGCTCCAGCGACCCCGACCGCCTGTGTCACATCGAGACGGCCACTCTGGATGGCGAGACCAATCTCAAGCAGCGGCAGGTGGTGCGCAGCTTCTTCGACCTGGTGAGCCGACATCACTTCCCGTCGCCATGGTAAGACGATGGTACTGATGTGCCTAATAAAGTGGCTGTGGCGCGGCTGGTTTTGCAGGACTGCGACTTTGACCCGTCCAAGTACAACAGCGTCATCGAGTGCGAGAAGCCCAACAATGACTTGAACCGATTCCGAGGGTACATGTGAGTGTCGTAGCTTGGCGCCATGCAATGAAAAAAAATGACTGAACTTTATTTTGTCAAGTGGTTGCACAAAATAAAATGATCCAGATCCAATTGGTTAAAATTGTGTGAATTCAACCAAAACGTTTTTCAATGTGGTGTGTATGCTTCATGATTGTTTTGTTATTAACTTTTATTTTGTCGGAGCATTTTCCTGAGTCAGAGTACAAGTACAGATGTATAATATAATACTGTATCGGACTGTTTTGAGACTTGGGGGGAAGGGTCCTATCTTCCATTCTTCTTTCAAAGCGTGACCTTTGATTTCATCGCCATTGACTTTGATTCATTGGGGCAGAATCCACCGGAGTGGCAGACGAGACGCACTTTACAAAGACAACCTGCTGCTGAGGGGCTGCACCATCCGCAACACGGAGGAGGCAGTGGGCATCGTCATTTACGCAGGTGAGCGTCACGCCCATGACGGCGCCTCGGAACGCCCGCGCGTACGTGACCGAGCGTGCGCGTATGCGTGTCTGCAGGTCACGAGACCAAAGCCATGCTCAACAACAACGGGCCTCGCTACAAGCGCAGCAAACTGGAGCGACAGATGAATGTGGATGTCTTCTGGTGCGTCATCATCCTGCTGGTCATGTGCTCCTTTGCTGCTGTTGGTGCGTGACAGTGCATTGCCACATGCACACACACCCCATTTATGTTATCCAAATGAATCTTTTGTTGACCAAAATGGTCTGCATCTGTGAGTCATATACAACCGATGGGATTGGAGACCCGAACCAGGAAATAGAAACCTAACACATTAAAACAGGTTACAGAATCAATAATTATTCACAACACCAGTTACTGCAGATCCAAATCTAAGTCCTTTGAAAAGCTGGTCAATATCAGCCTCTGTCAAGCCAACAAGAGAAAAAGAAACAAAAAAACTGGAAGTAGAAACTAACAAAATAGAGCTAGCAAGACAACCAACGCTGATGCATGACACTAATCATGGGAGGTCCAAATCAAAGTCCTGAAGGAGGTGGGGGGGCACAGGAATTGGAAACCCATTCAAAATAAAACCGGTAGCAGAAGCAAAAACACTAGTTACTGAAAGACCCAAACCAAAGTTGTTCACGTGTGACATTATGTTCTTATTAATGCAGGTCACGGGCTGTGGATGTTTCAGTACGGCGATAAGAGGCCCGTTTTTGACGTCCTCAGTCCGGAGGGAACAGACTTGTCGCCCGTCTTGTCGGCCATCTATCTCTTCCTCACCATGATTATCGTCTTTCAGGTATGAAAGGCCCGACCTTTTGTTCACTAGCATACAGAGGGTAGCCAGCATGAGAAGCTAACCTAGCAGTCAACATCTATGATCGAACAGCATTTGTCAACAGAGGACTCAAATGATTCAAATTAAAGTCCATTGCCAACAAAAGCTGGTCAGTATCAATTGTAGTTCAGCGTTCAATCACGACAAGTGATGAGCATACGGCAGCTAACCGGTTGGTGACTAGCTAGCTAGCGGCTAATTGGGAAAAAACAGCTCTGTGTACTGTTTCTGTTTCAGGGTCAGTTTGTATTGATTTATTTCTGTTTGTCCGATTGCTGACACCCCAACCAAGCAAAAAATGTCACCCTGTGCTCGTCAGATGTGAAGTTTGTGTCAGTATGCCCAAACAAATATTTGTGGATGGGGACTTTCCATTTAGCCCGCAAAATCTGCTTGTTTTCCCTCAGGTGCTGATCCCCATCTCGCTGTTCGTGTCCATCGAAATCGTGAAGATCTGCCAGGTTTACTTCATCCACCAGGACGCCGAGCTGTACGATGAGGAGAGCGACTCCCACCTTCAGTGTCGTGCGCTCAACATCACCGAGGACCTCGGGCAGATGCAGTACATCTTCTCCGACAAGACCGGCACGCTCACGGATAACAAGATGGTGTTCCGCCGCTGCACCGTGGCGGGCGTGGAGTACTCGCACGATGCCAACGGTCAGACTGACATTCTTCCAAAACAATTATTGTAGCAGTGTTAATTTTAATAATAATTACACATTTTTTGTTTCTATGTTTCAATAAAGTAATCAATTAGTCATTAAATCCATTGACCCTGTTTTCCGAACCCTTAGTCAAATAACATGCGGGTGTGGTTACTCGTGGTGCCATTCAAGCTTTTGCTACCCGAAAGAAGGTGTGACATCATCGTAAATTGTCCTGTTCTGTGTCTTTGTTGTCCTCCAGCAAGGAGACTTGCCATGTACCAGGAGATGGACTCGGAGGAGGAGGAGTGTCCGTCCCGCGGCGGGACGCTGCCTAGGCGAGACAGCGTGGGCAGCCACCACAGCGTCAAAGTGGTGCTGCGCTCCCACAGCACCAAATCCCACCGCAGGACGGGCAGCAGGGCCGAGGCCAAGAGGGCCAGCATCCTGTCCAAGCACACGGCCTTCAGCAGTCCAATGGTCTGTGTGGCCCCTGTTCTCCCCTGATTGTCTTTACATTTCTCCCGCTGTCCTTCACCTTCCTCCGTATTTTGTCCTCTTATTGACCATGAGTGTCTCTTAAAGCCTCCACTCTCCAACGGTGTCCCCTGATGTCCTCCATTGATCTCTGTCCTCCACTGTTTTGCTTTCACTATATCTCACCGCCCCCTGTGTCTTCAATCCGTGTCCTCCAAAGTTTGTCCTGCCTTGTCCTTCGTCAACCTTCACGTTCCCCCAGTTCCCCTGTTTCTTTGCACCGTTCTCCTCAACCGTCTGCTCCCACACTCACGGCTAAACGTTCCTCCGCGGCGTAGGAGAAGGACATCACGCCCGACCCTCAGCTGATGGACAAAGTCAATGAATGCGGCAGTCAGATGGACTTCATGCGCTTCCACAGCCAGCCTATGTCCCAGCTGCCCTCCGACCTTGGCGACATCATGGATTTCTTTATCGCGCTGACCCTCTGCAATACGGTGGTGGTGTCCTCCCCCGACCAGCCTCGTCACAAGGTAACCTTTGCAAATATGTCCACGATACCGCACCCGTCTTTGGGGTAACGTGCCCTTTTGTCCCGAGTCTTTGTCCTTCATGTCCCTCCCATGCTCTGCTGCAGTGGCGTCTAAACTATGGCCACCGTATCCGTTTTCAGCAGCTTGTGGCATTTACTAAAAATGCGATTTTACACAATCAGAAAATGCTAATAGAAAAGGAAAAACGAAAAACAAAAGTGGAGGTTGTATCTTGTAGAACAGACCTCATCAAGATGGTGCAATCGGTAGGGCCCCACGGACCGCATGATTAGCTCACGGGCCGGTTCCAAAATTAGATCACCACTGATGGGACAGTGTGAATTTCAAGGAATGTTGTGTAAGTGATCACTTGATTATGTATACACTCTCGTAGATTTATAAAAAAAAAGTGTTGCATTTTACTATTTGTGCTTCCTCGTTATCGTGTGAAAAATTGAATGTGATCAGCGTCTTCACATAAAAGAATATCCTTCATTTTTGTTTTTTTTTTTCAACATAATTTGAACGATTTGTTATAACAGAAGCGTGTGTCAAGCCATTAGCCCTTGGCACTAATCAGTAGTCAAACAGTAGCTTCAGTTTCAAAATGGTTGGCGGCCCCTGTTGTCGAGCTTTTCTAGAAACGCAAACACATTATCTAAGACTAAAATAGAAACAGAATGTCTTTTCATAACAACGCGGTGAATAACGGAAATCCTTTTTTTAGAAGGAGAAATGGTTTCCTTCACTTTCTTCTCTCTGTCATGATGCAATCGGTGACCATGTCACATTGTTGATTCACAAGTTGCTGCTTTAAAGAATGGTCAGCAAACCACTGATTGCTCTTGTTTAGTTTTTTTCTGGTGTGGAGATGGGATTTAATTGATGTTCACAGTCACCATATATACGGGAGTAACTCCGTCCGCTCACGCATGTAAACGTGAGCGTTTCAAAACCGTAATTTTGACATTAACCTGAATATTAACTTTATGAAAAACGTAGTGAATGTCACCCCCTTGCCCTCCGCCGTATCCCCACCCTCACTGTCCTCAACGGTGCCCTATTGTCTTCCACTGTCCTCCATTGTCCCCATTATCCCTCAGCCTCCTCCACATCCCCTCCTTGCCCTTGATAGCCTGCCAATTCCTTTTCATCACGGAAGGAGAGGGTGTACAAACTGCTTTTAAAAAAAAAATACTGTACAAAAGAAAGAAATGCCAAACAATTGAATCACATTGATTTTTTTTTTTCTTCTTTGCAACACCGCAGACGTGTCCGTCTATTGACCGAAGAAGCATGTACAGGTATTTTAGTTTCCAGAGTTTTCTCAGAGCGCTCGGTTTTATTTCATGTGCTTTTTAAGCCTGCTCTCAGTTGTATATCCGTGTTTTGTTTTCTGTGGGTGTGGTCGTCCCGGTCAGAGGTGATATCCTCTTCTCCCAACGGCGTGCACTAGCTTGCTTGTCTCGCCATCTAATCAGAGTCTTGATAGTCTACGGAAATATCACCCGCACGGATTTGTTTGCTTGCTTTGTGCTTTTTTTTTTTATATGCCACTGTGATTGTCCACCTTTATGTTAGTACACCCTTGTGGCTTCACCTGAATGATTTATAGGTTCAAGATGCATGCATGTGATAAGGCTGGATGCCAAGAGGCACACGGTTCATCACTTGGCTCCACTATTGTACTGCGCTGCCCCAAAAAGGGAAAAGGGACCGACAAAAAAGGTCATATGCAAATGTTGTGTGGCACTGACCGTACAAAATTGTGTCGCTTTGTTATTTCTCTGATGGAAAAAAACAACCAAAAATCGTTGAATGCACACTGATGAAAATGTATGTGTCACGCTCTAAAGCTCACGCTGTCGCACGCATGGAGCCATGCCCAAAATTGAACAGGAAGTCCTCCATTTTGGTTTGAAGCAGCTATTTGTCGCTTGGAAATTTGCCTCCAACAATAGTTTCATCAGTCAACACAGATTTTGGTGGACATATCTGTCACAACCGGATGTATAAAAAAAGTCTCATGGACCCATTCACAAAATTGAACAGGAAGTAGGAAGCAGCCATTTCTCAGTCAGTAACGCCCACTGGAAAATGAAAAAAAAATCCCTTAACTCCTGTTTCCCTAATAAACACAAATTTCGATTTCCTTAATTATCACGACACCCATTCACAAAATTGAACAGGAAGTAGGAAGCAGCATTTCTCAGTCAGTAACGCCTACTGGAAAAACAAAAAAAAATCCCTTAACTCCTGTTTCCCTAATAAACACAAATTTCGATTTCCTTAATTATCACGACAGGACTCATAAAAAGGTCTCAAGGGTCCATGCCTGCAATCGGGCAGGATGCCGGCCATTTTGATTTCAAGCGACTATTATTTAACTCCTGTTTCCCTAATAAACACAAATTTCGATTTCACGACAGGACTCATAAAAAGGTCTCAAAGGTCCATGCCTGCAATCGGACAGGATGCCGGCCATTTTGATTTCAAGCAACTATTATTTTCATCTCCCCTAGAAAGTTAGAAAATATTTTCCAGCGATACTTGTTTCACTAATCGACATGAAATTGGTTGGATAAGTCTGTCCTAACAGGGATTATGAAATATCGCAAGCCTGAAATTGAACAAGAAGTCACCCATTTTGGTTTCAAGCATCCATTTTGGGTCAAATTCCCCTTCCCAGACAGATGGGTGAAACTAAATTACTCCCCTTTTTTTTCCCACCCCATCTAATATGGGTGGAGTGTGACGTTCCTCGTCAAGCATCCATTTTGGGTCAAATTCCCCTTCCCAGACAGATGGGTGAAGCTAAATGACTCCCCTTTTTTTTGCCTACCCCATCTAATATGGGTGGAGTGTGACGTTCGTCATATTCCGTTGTGTGTCCTCCAGGTCCGAATGCGGTTCGAACTCAAATCCCCGGTCAAAACCATCGAAGATTTCATCAAACGCTTCACGCCGAGCCGCCTGACCTCAGGCTCCAACAGCAGCAGCTCGTCGAGCCTCGCCACCAACCGCTCCTCCACCAAGGGCTGCTCCAGCACGCTGTCCTCTCCTTCGGCAGAGAGCACCCTAAAC